CATGCACGAAGCAGACTGTGCTCACTCAGGACGAGTCCAGTCCAGAGTTCTGCTTCCCACTGCAGAGGGCCAGTTGCCTCGAGGGTCTTCACAAGCGAGGCGTGGAAACGGTGGCCGTCGTTTGCAGTTTACACTCAGCTCAGCCACTGCTGCTCAGTGGTACACTGCCTTTATACATGGAAGCTCCTTTTAAGTTGTTACACCTTTATTTGAGATATTCTCTCCTCCGGTCTTTTAAAACTATCGTACACAGTAAACGTATGCAAAGAGAGATGCGCACTCTGCCCTCCGACAAAGACCCTTCGGTACAGTACCATCTTACAGGCTTCCTTAAAAAAAGCAAACAGACTAGGCGACTCCCTCTTCTCTCCCGAGAGACCTTTTCAGGGTGTCATGGCTACAACCGAGAGAGCGCCGGTAATCTGGGGCAGAAAGAGTTCCAGAACACTTTCCACCCTTTGTATAGAAAATACAGCCTGTTTATCTGTAGTTGTCTGGGGTGTTGTGCTGCAAATCGGTCATTTAGGTAGGTAAAACGTGGGATCTGGAGCATGGATAAAGCCCTGGCGCTAGCACGTGGTGTGTTTGTCTTCTTTTACTAATGTTATTTAAATAGTTATTTAAATTTGAATTAGTATATTTTCCTATTCAAAGCTTCCTGGAAAACCCCTATCACCAGGGAGAGCTCAAGATTGGGTGGGGGAAAAAGATGTCATTGCCCGGCAAGGTTGGGCAACCAGTGGGAGGTGCCAGGCAAAGTTCTCTCTGTTTTTCCCCCTCCTGAGCAGAGCTTTCCCCCTCCTGAGCAGAGCGCTTCCTATGACTGCTGTCATCTTAAAATGGGCAATGCACAGTGCAAGGCTCTGCGTGGGTCCAGGTTGCTGCTGGGCGGGTCTTCCTGCGTTCACGAGCAGCTGCTCATGTGAACAGCTTAGAGGGAACACCGGTGCCAAGTGGGTTTGTGGCTTTTGCTAGATTATCTAATTCTCCCAGTGCTGGTGGCTATGACCTGGTGGTAGTAGATAATGCGTTGTGAGAAGGAGCACCTTCTTTAGGTATTTCCCAGCCTTTTTTTTTTTTTTTTTTAATTAGGAGACTTCAAGCTCTGCTAAGAGGTAAGGGAGAGGTTCCCTTCTATCTGGCAACTTTTGCTGGAGGGGATATTTGCTGAGGCCTTGCTGATTTTGTTTTGCAGTTGGCTGCTCCAGAATGGCCTTTTTCCTTATAGAAACTGTTGAGAAAGAGACTGATATTTGCTGTTTATGGAGTTATATCTGCTGACACACACACCACAGGAACTGTGCATACAAATACACCCATAGGCTTAAGAAGCGCATTTCACCATTGTTAGCGGAAACAACAACGAAGTATCCCCCATTGCTGAAGGGCTGGATGTCACGCAATACACGGATCTGATCTACATCTGAATTGCCATTTCCTGGCAGATGTTGCTTTGATTGCCTGGGAAAGCCGAGATCTATCTACACATCAAGGAAGGTCCTGACGCCAAGACTTCACACCTGACCAGCTGGCTTGTCCCTGAGTTAGAGTTTAGTGTTTCAAATATTGGCCAAACCCCTAAAGTAGATGCCCTTACTACACGCACCAATGGTTGTAGTCATGGGATGGACTAACAGATAGGTGGATCTCAGAATGGCAAGGTTGCCACACACCCCAAAGATTCACCTATAAAAGGTGAAGACCATGTGTTGGGTCTTTGCAAGCCACAAACCCTTCATCATCCTCTGTCTGCTTTTATCCCCTAAAGTCCAGCTTGCTATCCAACAACCCTTTGTCTATTCTTGATCTCTTGGACTGCAGCCAAAGAGGTCTACACTTTGCTGGCAGTATGACTCAGAAATACCCCTAGGTTTTATTTTCTTACCCTTAATTTTTCATTGCAACAGACAAGGCTTCAGGAAAGATAAGTATGAACGATACCTACCTACCTCCTAAGTAAAAAGGAACTATTTTTCTATTTCTGTACTCCTAAGGAACTTGATTGTATGTGTATGAGATTCTGTTTTGTGTGTATTCGATTTTGATAATTCTTCAGTAAAAGACAAATTGTTTTGAATTCACCAGTCTCGTCTCTCTCACTGGGACATTCTTGGGGTGGACTTGGACCTCCGTAAACTTTGTCAGGAACCCATATTAAATTTAGTTCGCTAACAAAACCATCCCACAAGAAAAAGATGGAGATCACTGTGATACATAGGAGGGAATGGAGTCCCTCTATGGCAGATCAGCCAAGCGTTAATGCTCGCCTAGCTCCTGGTTTGACCTTGTGGGAACTTGCAGGGAGCATAGGAAGACTAGAAGGTACCCCCTCCAGTCTTTCCATTAGCTTGAAAATCTAGCTGTGTGCCTACAAAGCCTGCTGTACTTCTTAGTGGTCATATGGACGAGATAGTGCAGTCTATCACTTAATGCCTCTGAAGGTATGTAAAATAGCTGTATGTGAATGTGGAAGTTTATAGCTGTGTTTTGTATTGAATGAAAGCCAGCCACCTGGATATACAAAATCTTTTCATGAACACTGCTTGCAATGGGAAAAGCCAGGAACGCCAGTGTAGTAAATAGTGCACGCATGAACTTCATTCATTTCCGTTAATATGCCTGCTGTCGTTCAGCTTCAGGGATCAGTTTTCAACACCTGTTGACATTGGTTGAGAGTCATAGAGTTGGAGGGCTCCACACAGACCATCTCGTCCAGCCCCCTGCTCAGTGCAGGATCAACCTAGAGCATCCCTGACAAGTGTTTGTCCAGCTGCTGCTTAAAGACTGCCAGAGAGTACAGTGTACCTTGCTGTACGTGGGAATGGACACTGTCACTTTTGAAGTACAGAGGCCAGAGATGTGGGGCAGAAAATTTTCCAGTCTGCATACGTAAATAAAAGTCTCTTTATCTAGATGTGTCAGGGCCGCTGTGTTGTTAGATGGACAAGACGTGAGATATGAACCGAACAAATCCCAGTGCTTGTACGTGGTATATTTACCCCCTTCTGCTAATATTGTTTATGTTTTGCTAACACTCAAATATTTTATTTATTATTTAAACTTTGCCGACACTATTTAAATTTGAATCAGGAAATTTTCCGCTTCAAATTTTCCTGGGAAGGGGAATGGACACTTGTCACTTTTGAAGTACAGAGGCCAGAGATGTGGGGCAGAAAATTTTCCAGTCTGCATACGTAAATAACAGTCACTTTATCTAGAGGTGTCAGGGCCGCTGTGTTGCAAATCAGTCATGTTAGATGGACAAGACGTGAGATATGAACCGAACACATCCCAGTGCTTGTACGTGGTATATTTACCCCCTTCTGCTAATATTGTTTATGTTTTGCTAACACTCAAATATTTTATTTATTATTTAAACTTTGCCGACATTATTTAAATTCGAATCAGGAAATTTTCCGCTTCAGATTTTCCTGGGAAGCCCACATCACTGACTTAGGGGCATGTCATTGTGTTCGGAAGCATCAGTGGCCCCGACTTACCACTATGTGTGTTTTTTGTGTGCATGTGAGACGAACTAGGTATGTTTGTGGGACAAAATGGGTAGCTTTGCACAGCTGGACGAGTGCCCTCTACAGCGGCACATGCCGTTGCTTTGTAATATGGGTAACAGCTCTTGATATGACCAGTGTTTCCTCTAAGCTGAGTTAGTGTGAGCTAGCTCACAGTTTTTTAGCCCCTGGCTCACACAGTTTTTGTCTTAGCTCAGGAAGGATGGCTTCCAGAGCAAACTGATTTATGCAGTAGCCAAATCACCTGCTCGCAACTTTAATGCCAGTAGCTCACAAAGTAGACTTTTGCTCACAGGACTCCATAGCTTAGTGGGAGCATTGGATATGACCCCAGTCTTTGGTAGCACACTGGCTTCAAAGCGTTAATGTCAGGTTCAGTGCAAATAGGGCTGCCAAATCCCCCCGGGGGGGCGGAAATCCCCCCGCGCCAGAGGCCCGTTCCCCGACGCCGGGGAATCGGGCCCCGGGGGGAACCCCGCCCCAGCGTGCACGTCACAGGGAAGTGACATTATGACACTGGGCATGCTGGGGGTGGGGCCACAGCCATACAAGGGAAAACTCTATGGTTTTCCCTTGTATGGTTGTGGCCCTGCCCCCAGCGTGCCCGGCGTCATGACGTCACTTCCCTGTGATGTGCATGTGGCGCGCGCAAACCGGGAGCCACGCAGGAGTCCCCCGCCGGCAAGGTAGGTAACATTTGGCAACCCTAAGTGCAAAGGATTGGAAAGCCAATATTAAAATGGAGCCTCTGAGCCTCCGTGCTGCTGTAGGACTTGCATTACCATCAGAGATGGCGTATCTGCATTTGTTGGCCGGTGGGCACGTTGTCCCCTATAAAACAGGAAGCCATTTGAAGGCCCGGGAGTAGTACCTTGAAAGGCTGTGATTAAAACTGGAGATGTCGGTCTGCTCTCTCCAGTTTACTGTTTCCAGCCTCGCTTAGTGAGTATTTACAGCAAATAAAAATGAACAGTCTGTAAAATTGCAGCCATTCGTGAAACTTTTGCTGCAGTATTATTTTTCTCTCCCCAAGGTTTCCCCCCCCCTTTTGTAACAAAATATTCTAAAATTGGTTTTCCAGTCCGTAGGCAATCATAAGCTATAATAGTCGATAGAATCAATATTTACAGGGGGGGAAATGTATTTTATTGCCAGTTTTCCCTGAAATGGGTTCAGGATTGCCTGTCTTCCTTAATCCTTACTTAATGTGTCAACAGCCATAATCGCACATATCTTATTTTTCTGTCCTGCTGTGTAGGTATTTGGTAGGTATTTTACCCAGGATTAGCACATACCATCTTTGCCTAATCATGTAGGATAATTTTGGTAGCATCCAAATGAGTTTGGGCCAGTGATGCAGCTTATCTCAAATTTGCCACACACCTGTCATTTTGAATATTAAACCAGCGTTCCTTTACAATTGCGGAAGTCTTGTCTTAAAAAAAATACTTTCTTTGTGGCTTTTCCTAGGAGGAAGAGTTGAGGAAAAGTGGAGAAGCAAAATATTTCCACCTAAATGATGACCTGCACGTTCTGATCGAGGTGTTTGCTCCACCAGCAGAAGCCTATGCCAGAATGGGACATGCCCTGGAAGAAATCAAGAAGTTCCTCATTCCTGTTAGTATATGCTCCAGTTGTTTGTTTCTTTCCTTATTTGCAGTACTCGAAGCAAAAGACATGGTATTTTTAAGATTTATTGATTTATTAAATGAAGCTGGAATCCTAGAAGGCTCGTTTGGGCAAAGACCTCAGTGAAAATGTTAGACACGGCGATCCGGTACAATGGTTTCATTAGAGCTGTGAAGAAGACGAAGAAGAGATGGGTAGAAATACTGCTTTTAATCTAGGCTGTAGCTACACATTGGGTCTGCATGTTGTCTGAACCAGCCCATGGCTTCCTTCCCTGGAGGGTCATTATGATGTGTCTTCAGCGAACTCACAGGCTGTCACCAGAAAGAGTTTTGTCACACATTCTTGACTGTTTGTATTCGGTAGAGGTCCATCCACTCATGATGGTCAACACACCTGCATTCTGGAATAGTTACACAATCACTATGCAGGACAAAGTGCAAAACTAACATTGCCTCCCAATGGACACAGTGGTGGCCACAATAGTGGGTGGGTTCCAAAGGGGGGTTAGACAGATCCACAAAGGATAGATCCATCAATGGCTAGGAGCCATGGTGAGTAAAGGGAGCATCCACATAAATGGGTAGAACACCTCTGAATACGAGTTAGATTCGAGTTGGTCTTAGAGACCAACAGTAGTTTCAGGGTGGAAGCTTTCGAGAGTCCAAGCTCTGAAATTACCTTCTCTCAATACCGGTACTAGGAGGTAGCATCAGGGTGAAGGTCCTGTTTGTGCCCTGTTTGCTGGTCCTCCAGGGCAACTGGTTGGCTGCTGTATGGAACTGTATGGAGGTCCAGGTGGACCAGTGATCTGGTCCAGCAGGCTTCTATGCCCTTAGTGGCTTCTCTGTATGAATGGAAGATGACAGCCCCAAACACCTGTAGCTTATTTTGTCACCATCTGGATGGAGAGCCAGTTTGGTGTACTGGTTAAGTGTGCGGACTCTTATCTGGGAGAACCGGGTTTGATTCCCCCACTCCTCCACTTGCACCTGCTGATGTGACCTTGGGTCAGTCACAAGCTCTGGCACAGCTGTCCTTGAAAAAGAGCAGTTTGTGTCAAGAGTTCTCTCTGCCCCACCCACCTCACAGGGTGTCTGTTGTGGGGAGGGGAAGGGAAAGGAGTTTGTAAGCCGCTCTGAGACTCCAAGTGAAGGGCGGGGTATAAATCCAATCTCTTCTTCTTCTTCTTCATCTTGTGGGACGATGTTCCTAGAGTTAAGTTACAGAATTTATGGCCACAAGATTGCTCCGAAAAAGGACTGGATGAATTTGTATAGGGTACAGTCATGGCCTTGACTGCTAAATGTGCATAGGTAGTATACCTCTTGATGCTAGAGCAGCTCTCCAGAGTCTCGAGGTGAGATCTTTCACATCATCTACTATCTAACCTTTTAAACTGGAGATGCTGGGGATTGAACCTTGGACCTTCTGTATGTCAAGCAGCTGTCCTGAGTCACAGCCCCTCCCCGAGATGGGCTGTGAAGGGATTACTACATGGTTGCTCAAATCAGTACATGTCTATTGATTAGAGAGACGTATCCTTAATGATGTGTTTTCTATGATTAATGGAAGTGGGTTGCATGGTTAATGGGGAACCTATCTGCAGACATCAGAGGCATCCCTCAAAAAATCAGCATGTGCAGTTTTGTTCAGTAGACTGTGTCCCCCATAACCTTAGGCATTTGCACCATGATGCCTGTGTTACATTAGCGATGGCCCTACTTTTGTGGGGGTGTTGTAACATCCCTGACATGCTGTGCAGGTGGATTCATACTGTGGCCCCACCCATATTTGATAGAAAACCGCCCTCAAAAAATGGTCCATGACTTGTGCCTTGTTGTGGGTGCATGGTGGCAGCCTTCCAGTGAGAACATTGCCACCTTTGCAATGTTTTTTTTTCTGGCTCACGTGGTCCCTGGAATATTTGTTGGGCCTAGCATGCCAGAGTTAAATATGTAGCATATGCCACGGAGACTGTCTGGCATTCAGCCTCTATGAAGGGCTGGCGGTACTTGTCAGCACATGGATAGTCTCAGAGGCTTAGCCACATTGGTCTGCAGTAGAACAGTGTAAGGAGCTGCGGTGGCTGACGTGGTTAAGACGCTGAACTGCAGGCTGTGGAAGGTCGGTAGTTCAGCAGTTTGAGACCTGGGTTGCCTCATGACGGGGTGAGCTCCCGTCTGGTTCCAGCTCCTGCCATCCTAGCAGTTCGAAAGCAAGAAATTGCAAGTAGATAAATAGGTACCACTTCGTTGGGAAGGTAACAGCGTTCCGAGCGCCTCTGTGTTTAGTCATGCCGGCCACATGACCACGGAAACGTCTTCGGACAGCGCTGGCTCTTCGGCTTGGAAACGGAGATGTGCACCGCAACCCTAGAGTCGGATTCGACTGGCTTTCGAGCAAGGGAACCTTTACCTTTTTAGAACAATGTAATTCAAGTCCAGTAGCACCTAAGAGACCAACCAGAGTTGTTTGCATGTGGTTAGGGTGCAGTGCTGTGTGTCCAAGGGCCATAGGCCGAAGCTCTCAAGTGTTCATCTCTTGCCTTGCCTCCTGATCCCACCAGAACCTTTTGGAATCAAAACTAGGCAACTCTAAATATGATATCTTTCTGAATGTGTCAAGTTCTTGTGTCCGGGATGACTTGCACTCCCCTTTGAATACAAATATATGAACCACGATCAGGCCGCAAGATTTGTCTTGTATACCATACCACACCATGATAAAAGCTAGAACCAGTGTGGCAAGGGTATCCCATTAAAATTTACTTTGAAAAATGGTTATTCTCTCTCTCCCTCGCCCCCTCCCCCTGGTTGGATGTGCATAGTGGGTTTTACAGTCAAAGCCGTGTATCTTGTAATGGGTACCCTCCTGGATTAAAAGACAGTAGATTAAATGTTTGGTGTTCTCACGGCGGGGCGTGCCTGTTCAGAAGGCCACTTCAGCATGTGAACGTTGCTGAGGAAGTCAAAGCGATCTTGGGCCTGCGGCCTGTTCACGCCATTCCCGTTGTCTTGGTCCTGCAGAGTGATTCTAGTGGCATCTAGGATGTGTCTTTCTGGGTTGGCTCTTGTAGATTCATTCCACTACCAGTTGTGCAGTGCGAATAGCCCAGGCTAGCCTGATCCCGTCAGTTCTTGGACGCTAAGCAGGATCGGCCTTGGCTAGTATTTGGAAGGGCGACCTCCAAGGAATACCAGGGCCGTGGCGCCAGAGGCAGGCAACGGCAAACCACCTCTGAAACGTCTCCTGCCTTAAAAACAAGTCTAGCTCACCACCTACTGGTGCATAACGCTGAAAGACCTAGAACTTGTGGCAGGCAGATAATCGTAGGACAGCAATGCTGGTTCGTAGGACAGCAATGCTACACCAGTTTGGTGTAGTGGTTAAGTGCGCGGACTCTAATCTGGGAGAACCACGTTTGATTCCCCACTCCTCCACTTGCACCTGGCTGGATGACCTTGGGCAAGCCGTAGTTCTGGTAAGAGCTGTCCTTGAAAAAGAGCAGTTTCTGTCAGAGCTCTCTCAGCCCCACCTCCCTCACAGGGTGTCCGTTGTGGGGAGGGGAAGGGAAAGGAGTTTGTAAGCCGCTCTGAGACTCCCTTGGGTAGTGAAGGGCAGGATATAAATCCAATCTCCTCTTCTTCTTCTTCCTGGCTATTCTACATACAATACCATGCAATAATTAATTAATTGGCTTTCTGATGATGCATGAAATTCTTCTACTAAGGAAAGCCCCTTGCTACATGGGTGGGGGGCACCACTAATATGGATCCGTCCCACAGCCTTCTGAGGTGCTGAATATGATTATCAGACTTGGAGCAGGTATTGTATTGTAGCCTAACCTACCTCACAGGGTGGTGGTTAGAAAGGAAGAACACTGTTGTAAGCTGCTTTGGATCCTCCTTGGGGAAGAAAGTGGAGTGTAAGCATATAGATAAAGCTATTCTCTGTGACAATTCATAGAATCATAGAGTTGGAAGGGACCTCCAGGGTCATCTAGTCCAACCCCCTGCACAATGCAGGAAATTCACAAATACCTCCCCCCCACACCCACTGTGACCCCTGCTCCGTGCCCAGATGACAAAAACCTCCAGGATCCCTGGCCAAACTGGCCTGGAGAAAAATTGCTTCCTGACCCGGCCCAGAGTGGCAATCAGCATTTCCGTGGGCGTGTAAGAAAGGACCACCAGAACTAAGCACTGAGGCAACCCGTCCTGCCCTCCCCCCCCATGATCTGCCCAAGTTCACAGAACCAGCACTGCTGTCAGGTGGCCATCTAGCCTCTGTTTGAAAACCTCCAATGAAGGACAGCCCACCACCTCCCTAGGAAGCCTGTTCCACTGAGGAACTGATCTAACTGTCAGGAAGTTCTTCCTAATGTTTAGCTGAGAAAACTTCTGATTTAATTTCAACCTGTTGCTTCTGGTCTCACCTTCTGGGGCAAAAGAAAACAACTCCTTACCATCCTCTCTATGACATCCCTTCCAAGTACTTGAAGATGGTTGTCCTATCACTTCTCAGTCGTCTCCTCCCCAGGCTAAACATACCCACCTCCTTCAACCTTTCCTCATAGGACTTGGTCTCCAGACCCCTCACCATGCCCTCCTCTGGACACATTCCAATTTGTGGGTCCCTACTTGGTAACAGCGTTCCGTGCACCTTGGTGTTTAGTCATGCCGGCCACGTGACCACGGAAACGTCTTCAGACAGCGCTGGCTCTTCGGCTTTGAAACGGAGATGAGCACCGCAACCCTAGAGTCGGACTCGACTGGCTTTCGAGCAAGGAAACCTTTACCTTTACCTTTACTTGGTAACCACTGAAAAGCAAAGCTACGGCCCCACGGCACATGCCGGAAATGTTCAGAAATTCTGTTCAGTCTGATATTTCTGTCATGTTATTGCCCTTAAGAGGCTTTGTTCTTTTAATAAACTTGTACTCTTCGATAAACAGAATTTAATAACACAAGGCGCCTGGGTCAACAGCCCTTTTGCTTCTGTAACAGTTACAATGTGATGTGTTGTACATGATAGCGCGTTGGTGGCACCTTTGCTTTTTTTCATATTTTCGGGTGTCTCGATAGAATCCAGTAAGCTTGGTGAATTGTAGCATTGTGTGTATATATTTAATTTTGCTTTAGAAACTGGGGAAATCCTGAATAAGCGGATTATGGGAAATTGTATGGTAGGCCAGGAATCGATTACCAGATTGTTAGTACTTTAGTTTAGGCTTGTAGATTGGCTGTTTATTTAAAGTTAATTTGCACAGCTGGTTTTGCTCATTTATAAAATGGAGAAAAAAAGCACGCGAGAAGTTACGGCACACCAAGTGAGACTGTTGGTCCATCTAGTATTAGTTGTCTCTTCTTCATGGCAGGGGCTCTGCAGGATCTCTTGACAGAGAACGATCTTTCCTGACACCCGCTGCTAAAATCCTTTTAATTAGAGAGGGCAGGAATTGAACCTGGGGCCTTATTGGCGAGTTTGGGAAAATGTCTGAAGGCTGTGCTGCCTTCCACCAGAAGGTCTTGGAAAACACTAGACCTAAAAATCTAGTACGCTCTGTCAGTTGTTAGAACCAGTATACTGTGGTGGTTAGAGCTGGGGTGTCAAACATGTGTCCCGGGGGCCGGATGAGGCCCCCGGAGGGCTTCTATCAGGCTCACAGTGGAACTGGCTGTCTTCTGCTTCTTCTTCCAGTTCTGCTGCTGCTAACAAATGAGTTCGACACCCCTGGGTTAGAGTGTTGTATTACTGTCTAGGTGACCCAGATTTGATTCCCTACCCTGCCATGGAAGCTTGTTGCGGGAGTTTGGGCCACTCTCAACTTAACCTACCTTATTGTTGTGAGGATGAAATGGAGGAGAGGACATGATGTGTAAACTGCTTTGGGTCACCATTGGGGAGAGAGGCAGGGTAGAAATGAAATAAGTAATAATAAATAATGGGTTTGGGCAGTGCACTGTTTTAATACCATAACCCCTGTTAGGAATTGTCAGAATTTCTAATAAAGCTCTTCATTGGGGAAGGGAACGCTCGCTGAGCAATGCTTGGTTGGACTGAGATGAAAGGTACAGTATTGGTCTCCATCATCCCTCTTATTCCCTTTCACAACACTATCTAACTCAATTACAGAATCTCCTGGAACGGGAACTGAACTCTGAAGTACTAACATTAGCCCAGTTATCTGTTTTTTTGCGTCTTGGACGAGGAAGAATGCGTCCTCTTTGAACACAGAGGAGCATTTCGACTCTTTGAAGTTCCTCCCCACAGTCGAGAGGCACTCTGCGAACTGTGAAATAACTTTGTTTTGAATTCTGTAACTCTCCTGAAAGGAGCTCTTCCGCAGGGTAGAAGAATTTACTGCCTGCGTCTTATTTATGACCTGGAGCTCCTAGCTGGAAATTTTTTCAGCCGTGGGTATTTTTAATTAAATGTTTCTTAAAGCTTCCACTGTTATGGGCTGGGTAGAACGATGATTTTCAGCAAACACTACCCACCCACCCCGACACACATAGTAGATTCTTTTCTCCTTCCTTTGTATTGGTTATCTGGGACTTGGGTGGTCCTCGCCACAGGTGATCAGGCTTATGTTATCCTGCCTTCTCTGCACTCCAGACCCTATTTCACCAACTTCTGTTGTATTTTTCTATCAGGCAAATGGAGAATGAGCCATAATGTATACTGGAAATGCTAGTATACAGGTGGGAGCACACCCACCTTGCGCTGAAGGCGTTGCACTGGCTCCCAATAGCATACCGAATTCGCTTCAAGGTACTGGGCCTAACCTTTAAAGCCCTATATGGCCAGGGTCCGACATACCTGAGGGACTGCCTTTCCCCATACATACCCCAGAGAGCACTGCAGTCGGGGTCGCAAAATCGACTGACCCTCCCGGGCCCAAAGTATGCCAGGCTCACTACTGCCAGGGCCTTCTCAGTGGCGGCTCCATACTGGCAGAATGAGCTCCCGGAGGAGAGGGCCCTGCGGATTCTTCTCCAGGGCCTGCAAGACGGAGCTCTTCCACCAGGCTTTCAATTAAGGAGCTGCCACCACTATTACCATCAATAACTAAGTATAGCGCCCTGGCCCTTGGTTTTGTCATCCAGCCTGTGCCGCCGCTCACATTAGGAAGAGCACTGAGTAGAAAAAAAATGGTTGGATCTTGTAGGAATTCTTCAGGATGCCACCGTCAGGACGCCGTCTTAAGTAATCAACGAAACATCACCAGCACTTTATGAATTATGATCGATCTGTTTTAAATGATTTTACGTGGATTTTAATTGTTATTTATGTATTAATCCATGTGAGCCGCCCTGAGACCTGCTTTGCGGGGAGGGCGGGGTACAAATTAAATAAATAAATAGCAGGTAATGCTGCTGTGCCATTGTCGGCAGCACCAAAAACAAATGAGTGCTGGCAGTCTTTTGCCCATTCGTACGGATATGGTACAGTTGCTGGGCATTGTCTGTTACTATGCATAGTGGTGGTGTTCCTGCTTGAAATGCCCATACAGAATGGAAATAGTTTGTTTTTTTAATGCAATGAGTTCCAAAGGGCAGCCACATTCAGTCTGTTGTAGCAAACAACTAGCTGGAATCTTGGGGCACCTTTAGCAAAAAATCATTTTGCAGGTTCATGGACTACAGCCCACTTCCTCAGAGGTGTCTGGCAAAGGAGGTTCTAGCCCAGGGGTGTCAAACATAAGGCCCAGGGGCCGCCCCGCCCCAAGCTCTTATGCAGCCTGTGAGCAACTAGTGCAAGGGAGGGAACAGGAGACTGTTCAAGTGGGGAGTGGGTGGAGCCACTCCGATTGTGGCTTCAGCATGGCGGAACAACCTCATCTGGAGCAGTCAAGCAGTGTGGGAGCCTCTGCCCAGTGCTGCACCGCTGGCTCTCCAGTCCGCCCCCGTGGGTTTTCCTTTGCACCCCCCTCCCAGCCCGTGGGGCCTTGCAGCGAGGATATCACAACGTGGAGCTTACCAGCTGCTGTCCTTTATACACTATATATTTCCGGTACCTGGCATGATATTTTACGGCCCGACAAAGTGACATTTATGTCAGATCCAGCCCTCGTAACAAATGAGTTTGACACCTCTGTATCTAGCCCCTGGAACTCTCTGCTGCGGTACACATTTATAAGACTTTGAGCAGTGGTTTTCTCAGACATTTAAAGTGGAATCCACTATTCAGCTTGCTGGATTTTTTATTTTCATTTTTGGAAGTAATTCCATATTACTTTCTACCCCGCCAACAAAAGATACGAGTTTCACATTAGCTGGCACTGAACAAACGAAGAGCTTATATTTCATGTTCAGTATTTACAAACTGGTAGCACAGCAGGCTGTATTTCATGGCCATTTCTCACATCGTGCAGAAACAAGCCCACATTTGCCATTGAACTCTTCAGAGCCGCCTCTTTCCTCTTGGCCTCATGACCAGTGTTCCCTCTAAGCTGAGTTAGTGTGAGCCAGCTCACAGTTTTTCAGCCTCCGGCTCACACATTTTTGTCTTCGCTCAGGAAGGAGGGCTCCAGAGCCAACTAATTTATGTAGCAGCCAAATCGCTCGCTCACAGCTTTTATGCCAGTAGCTCACAAAGTAGAACTTTTGCTCACAAGCCTCCACAGCTTAGAGGGAACATTGCTCATGACCCACCTGGAAGAGAACTGTGATCCGCTTTTGGGTTCCAGACCCGTCCTTTGAGAACCACTGTTTTAAGGTGTCACAAGATCGTTGTAATTAAAAAAAACACACCAACAAATTGATAGAGGGATAGGTCTATGTATGCCTTTTTTCCCTAAATGGATCCTCCATGTACAAAAGCAGTATACACCTGAACATGAAATGTTGGGTGGTCACAACTCTCAAGCTCTGTGAAAACCCGTAGGCCTGTGGCTGCTACTGAAAAGAGACTGTTGAGCTAAATGGGCAACACTTTGATCCAGCAAATCTGTATAATATATCCTCCCCCCTCTTCTTCCAAGGAGCACAGGGTAACTAGTGTTCCTCTCCCTTCTTCCAAAAGAATTCTTCTTCAGACTTGCTCCAGCTCACTATAATCTGGAAAGAGGGGGATGCTTAGTTTCAACAATAGCGTAACAAGGGTTGACATACCCAGGGTTAACTGATTCCTTGAATTTTTGTGGAACTCTCCCCCCCCCTTCTTCCAGTCTATTTCCTCCGGATCCTCTTTATCTAGCAACCAAGTTGACATAATTAAAAAGACCCTGTGCCAATCCTGCACCTCCAGTTTCTTACTATTTGTAGTAAGAATATGATACAAAGCTCCTGAAATACTTGGCGGACAAAGGAAGTGAAGCTGTCTCTTTGCCTCCCCGTCTAGGACTACAATGATGAAATCAGACAGGCACAATTGCAGGAATTAACGTACTTGAACGGTGGCTCGGAAAACGCAGAAGTTCCAGTAGTCCGTGGAAAACCTCCTCTGCGGGCACGAGGAGTCCCGGCCCCTGCTTTGGCAAGGTAGGTGGTATTTAATTTCAGTGACTTTTGCTTTACTGCCTTATTCTGTGCACCCTTGAAACAATAGCTACTCTTTCAGGTAGACTAATATTCTCAGAGATGGGCAGTGTGGTTGAGTGGTTCGGTTATCTATGCGGATGAAGGCTGTTTGAGCTCTGTATCCCATACATATCCACCACTTACTCCGCTAGAATTCTCTGTACCAGTGTTCCCTCTAAGCTGAGTTAGAGTGAGCTAGCGCACAGTTTTTTAGCCTCCAGTTCACACATTCTTGTCTCAGCTCAGGAAGGGATGGCTCCAGAGCAAACTAATTAATGCAGGAGCCAAATCGCTCGCTCACAACTTTAATGCCAGTAGCTCACAAAGTAGAAGTTTTGCTCACGAGACTCCACAGCTTAGAGGGAACATTGCTCTGTACTCCTGTAAGATTTATCTTTTTGCCTTAAAAAAAAAAAAGCCTTTACTTCCTGTGAGTGAGGTGAGTAGGGTAAAACTTAAAAGGCCTATCAGGGAGTTTCCTAATTATTTAATACGTTCTCCTAATTTTGCTTTTCAAATACTGTTTTGCACTGCTCTTCTGTGTGTTTGGATCTGTGTGTTTGGAATTACTCTGCTGCTCCGTTATGTTTTGATTCTATGGTTGTTGGCTGCTTCAGGTGTTTTAAAGGAAAGATAGGATAGAAACCTCTTAAGTTAGGGGTCCCTGTGGGGGTGCCACAGCGCCTGCCATGTCTTTTCAGGCAGCGGGCTGGGCCAGGTAGGGCTTTTGCCCAGCAAGGCTTCCGATTGGCTACTAGAGGTTTGATTGGCAGTGCAAGGTTTTGAAAACGTTGCAGCTCCTGCCACAGCACAAGGATCTTTGTTGCGTGACTGCGGATGAGCCGCAGCAGCCATTTTGCGGCTCGCTTTGCACACTGTGGCAGCCATTGTGTGGCCACACCCACCATGCTGCATTGGAATCCCTAAGGTGCCCACAGGCCAAAAAGTCTGGGGACCCCTGTCTTAAACAGTTCTCCAAGCACTATTTGGGGCCGGTGCATCTGTGAACATAAGAGACGCCAATGTTGGATCAGGTCAATGGCCCATCCAGTCCAACACTCTGTATCACACAGTGGCCAAAAACACCCGGTGCCATCAGGAGGTCCACCAGTGGGGCCAGGACATTAGAAGCCCTCCCACTGTTGGCCCCCCCTAGCACCAAGAAGACAGAGCATCACTTGCCCCAGAGCCCCTATCAATACCTTGTGGCTAATAGCTACTGATGGACCTCCGCTCCATATGCTTATCCATATAAGCTATGATGCTATAGCCATGAAGGAAGACCCTTTTCTTGGGGGGGCAGGCAGGTAGTTTACAAGCTAAAATAGGCCACAGGTCCTTTCCACCTGCCCTGTGATTAATGGTGCCAATCCATGGCTTGTAAATGGTCACTTGCATCTTCTGGATGCCCCATGCATTAAGTAGGCTTGGTCCCACTGACTTCAAGCAGACACCTTTCAGTTCTTGATCGGGAATGCAGTTACAGCCAGACACCACATAGGACTTTAGTGCACCTCACAGTACCTAAAAGGCTTCCCTAAGCGCTGGGCTGTGTACCCAAGAGGCAGTTTTGTAAGGCTGCAAAAGATCTGTGAATGACACCTCGACAAAGTGGTTCAGCATATATAGATGTATGTTCTCACCTTTTTACATGAATAGCTGTCACAAAAGATACAAGGAAGATTTGCCAAAGTGAAATTTCTTAAAATCAGAGCCAGAACACATGCCTAAGGTGATCCCTGGGATCTCTTTCACAGGTCAAATCCTGTCTATAAGTTAGGTTGTATCTCTGAATTGTGGAGAAGAAATGCTGTTGCCTTTTTGGTGTACTGGTTAGGAGTACAGATTTTAATCTGGGAGAGCCAGGTTTGATTCCCCACTCCTCCACATGCAGCTGCTGGTGTGACCTTGGGTCAATTACAAGTTCTTTCAGAACTGTTCTCTCAAGAGCTCTCTCAGCCCCACCTACCTCACAGGGTGTCTTATTGTGGGGAGAGGGAGGGAAGCCGCTCTTAGACTCCAAGTAAAGGGCGGAGTATAAATCCAATATCATCGTCTCTTTTTGAAAAGGGGGGGGCAGTTTGTTTCTGTTTTATGCCCTCAAGTGAGGTCCCCCCACTTCTCTCAAAGTATTAGGGAAATTAAGTGGATTACTTTCTTCAGATGCTGTTCCCCATTGCCCTACGTGTGCAGCAGAAACGTCATCAGATATTGAGGTTTGATACCTTTTAGACAGGGAAAACTAGACACGACAATGGCCAGAGGCATAACCTGTGGCCACTGATGCTGTTTTGGATGACAGTATAGCCATTTTAAAATGGCTGTGAGGGCCTGAACCTTGTCAGACCCACACTGTGGCGACAACCAGGTGATCTTGTTTCTCTCCTCCATGGCTGCTTTGGCACTTTAAAAGGAGTGTGGGGAGGAAGCAGTATCATCAGTTGCCACTGCACCGCGGGCTCAGTCAGGGTGGGGCCCTTGTGGAAATTTTTAAATGGCTGAATTCTCCTCCGAAATGGTGTTGGTGGCCTTTGCGATGTCTAGTTTGGTCCGGAGGCTGAGCTGTTAAAGAGGAGTCTGGGAGGGCTCCCTCTGTGTGTCCAGATGGCCTCCTGGAATGGGGAAGCAAATGGATCACCTAAGAACTTTTCACGCCGCTTAAATGACCGATTGCAACCATCTCTCTAAAACAAAAGGTTGCAACTCTGCCGGGTTCATTTCATCATGCACTGCTCAAGTCAGTCACCTCCTGGCTTTGCCTTTATTAGAACTTCTCATGCTTTGCTCTGCATCTTCCTTCTCTGCTCTCACCCCACCTTTCAACCAAAGCCCACAAACAGCTGCAGCCTGCATGTTTATCGGGAGGTTTTGCATGATGAAATACAGTGGGAAGGGCTGCAATCAGGCATCTGAGATCAGAAGTCTGCAGAAGTGCTCGGCTCTATATGTACTGTGTGTCTGATTAGGTCCAGATGAGCTTCCCAAGATATACTCCCTTCCTGCTTTTCCCATCCCTATGTATTCAATGCAGAGGTAGTGCTTTCTGGTCATCTGTCTGAGGTTTAGTGATTGGCACTGCCTATCCCCACTGTACTCTACCATCTTCCTTCATCTGGTCTGTTCGGATCTAACTCTGGCTAGTGATTCATCTGCAGTGGATGTAGTAACTGTAGTTAGCTCTAAACCACAGTTTGCAGCTACGGCTAGAAGCCTGCGGGTAGCCCGAGAGTACCTGTCAATTGTAATGGCACCTTGTTATTTGTACATAGTTAAAAGGGGAGGGGTTCACCTATCTACAGTGGTGGTGTGTGTGTGTTCTGAAGCAGTACCATCCATCTTTTATGTGAGTGTGTGTGTGTGTTTTCCTTGGGGTGAATGTTTTCCAGGGGGAAAATACTTCACAACTCTGAGCTGAAAAGGTACAGAGGGGAACTTTCATGGCACAAGTAACATACTCCTTTAGCAAAATGGAACCGAAAGGACCCTACTCTGTTGCAATCCACCTTTCTAATTGTGATTCAAGGCGGATTACAACATTAGAAAATGATGCCATACAAAAAACATCATATTACATATGCAGTAAACGATGCAAGAATGAAAGAAAGCTGCCTGAAGCAGGAGAGTCAAATATGCTGCCCACGGGCCATATCCAGCCCCCACAGTGCTTGTATGTAGCCCACGAGCAACTGGCTGTCGTCTGCTTCCTTCTTCCTCTCTCTTCCTTCCTTCCGCGTCATAGCTTGTGTGATGCCCCACGTCCAGCCTGGTACCCAGTCGGTCAAAGAGACTTCCAGAGAGGTATAGCCAGGAACAGGGGTCTTTTTGTAGAAAAAGAGCTGCAGGAGCTCATTAGCATATGCTAATGAGCTACTGGGCTATTAGCATATGCCACGCCCCCTGACATCACCAGAAGTGATGGCAGAAGGGGAAGCAAAAGGGGGGGAGGCATCTTCAAAAGCCTCCCCTCCCCTTGGGGGGGGGAGCGAAGAGAGAAGGGGTTTAAACTTTAAACCCCTTCTCACTAGAGTTGGGCCACAGGAGGAAATACAGAAGGAAAGAGAGAGAGTAGAGAGAAGGAAATAAGGGAAGAAAGAGGGAAAGAAACAGAAGGAAAAGGAGGGCAAGAAAGAGAAGGGAAGAAGGAGGGAAACAGGGAAAGGAGGAAAAAAGAGAAGAAGGCAGGAAAGAAAGAAAGGGGAAGAAGGAAGGAAAGAGGGAGGAGAGAAGGAAAGGAGGAAAAGAGAGGAAGGAAGA